ACAGTTTTTATAGCGTCGTCCCCCCCCCATTTTTCTTATGCCTTTCTCCAGCTCTTTAGAATTAATGAAGCAAACCAGCTCATGCAGTACGACCAGTGCCTGACAAAGGGAGGAGACGGATCTGCTGTCATCATAACACACTGCAACTTAAATGAGCACACAGAGTGGAGATACTTTAAGGTATGTCACAGGAGGTATCGAGCCTCTTTTGGCCTTGGTGCCTAATCAATTAAACTAAAATTTTTATAGCAAAGGTGACACTTTACAATAAGTTTCAGTAGTCTAACACTAGGTTATGTAATAGCTAGTGCTGGTTAAAGATGGTTAAACATGTATTAGTATATATATATATATATATATATATATATATATATATATTAATAGTTCAAACCCAGTGTGAGGAGGGACTATTTGCTTGTCCAGCCAATGGCGAACAGCAAGAGCCTCTTTAAAACAGTATTTCTGCAATTACACACTTCACTTTTAACCTCATAAATTTCTTTATTTGATTACACATATTTAAACAAAGGGGCTTTAGATCAGTATAATGTACCTTTTTCTCTCTAATGTGAAGTTCACCTCTCCAGATCGCTCTCCCATCCACAGAGCTGTCAATCACTGATGGAGAACATAAGCGGGTATCTAGGTACATGGCTGCTTTCTGCCACCTTTATAGTGCAGAAACAAGAGACACAGGGCCATTAGGCATAGAAGAACTCATAAATAGAAAGGACAGGTCGATTATTTCAAGAACGGTGATATTATTACTGGAGAATATTGGATTTTACCCTGCATTGTGTTCAGTGACCATGATCATCTGTGCCGAATGCCATGCCCTCAAGCGCTTCAAAGAGCCAATCACAGGCAACATATCCTTCAACTCCGCCTCCTCATCCACACACAGAACAATCACATCGAGCAAAGACTTCCCTGCAATCAAGAACAAACATTACATCAATACAATAAAAAAAAGCATAGTAACACTATGATTACATTATTTGCTGTTAGCAAATATTCTCAAATGTGTAAAACAAAATAAAGAAAATATTACTATGATAACTTTATAATGCCCAAAACCATTTAATATTCTAAAATAGTACCTGGAGGAGGAAGTTTGTCTGCTAACTGATGAAGACCTTCAGCAGCCTCTTCAAAGAGTCTATCATGATAGTCAATCATCACGAAAAAATAAACACAGAAAGTAAATGGAAGTATATGTAAATAAACGTGTCAATAATCAACTTAGGAATGACATCAACTAATCCCTGAAACATGATTAACTCTTTGGTTCAATAAGGTTCTTCAGTTTGAGATATCATGGGGCGACAGTATCAATCACAATCTCTCACTCTGCGTGGGACGGGTTCTCTGTGAGCACGCTCGGTTCCTCTTGCTCCTGAAGGGCAGCAATGCAGGTGTCTAAAGCAGATGGCTCTGATTCCTCACTGTCACTGCGCTGGGAACACAGTTCCTCCCACTCTGAGCTGCACCACTGGAAATACACATTAAAGTGTGTGTGTGTGTGTGTGTGTGTGCGTGGATGATCAGAAGCACTATACCAGGGTTTTTCAATCTTTCATATGTCACAGACAACTACATGTGATCATCCTCATGCAAGTGACCCCATCCTAAACTTTAAAGGCAACTATGTACTTTCATGTATAAAGACTCAATTTATACTAATTTAAATTGTTATAATATATATCATACTAGTACAATACTATAATATATACTATTCAGAAAATATTTAGTTTCTATTAGGTTAAAATATTTTTTCTACTCACTATAGTACTGAACTGTTAGATGCATATTTATTATTTTATTCAGATTTTTATTATTTATTCATTTTTTATTTTGAATCTAATTTTACTGTTTACATATTTATTTTAATCTATTTATTTACTAAAATAGAATTTTTATTTGTTTATTCATTTGTACTTTCTATCATATTATTTATTTGTTAAATATTTTATATTTATTTTAATCTAATTATTTATTTAATAATGTATTGTTTTTAGGCTTTTTAAACATCCTTGAACTAATCTACATTATTACTTTTTATAACCTATGTTTGTCAGACCCAGTTTATGTCATTTGTAACCAATCTAATGTGAGAATGCACTAAACAAGAAGCAAATATGCATATGTTAATTACCTGTGTTGTACCGTAACTGACTTGAATAGCAAAGTACCATCTCTGTGGGCCAGGACTACCACTCAGAGAGCAGGCTAAATGAATTTAAACAAACACAAAGTCAAGCTTCACACCAAAACTTATGGAAAATGAGAGGCAAATGAGGTTATAACGCATAAACCTACCTGGAAATGGAGGAATGTGCGTTAAATTCGAACTAGAAATGTTTGTGAGGTTACCAAACACTTTTTTGGTTTCATCAACCCCTGCAATTAAACCAATAAGTTACGTCAAAACAGCAACAGACAGCCAAAGCAGAACTTCTGACAATTGCTGATATGCGGCGTCCTCTTACCGTTAAAAGAGCCCTCTTTCTTTGGCTCTATATTGATTATAACAACTAGCACGTATCTGTCCATAACTGTATGCTGCCGTATTCATGTAAGCTAATATAAGCTTGTTACAACTCCACACAGCACAAAACAAATTTTCCCGCGTTTACAACCAACGCGGACGTTCGAAGATAACGTGACGATGACGCGCGCGCTACCAAAAAATACAGTCGGTAGGAACAGATTAAAGATAGGCTTATAAATAACAATACGTGGAGATGGGAGTGAACTAAACACAAATTAAAATCATATACTTATTGTTATTCAATTACATTATCAATGTAAAATAATCTGAGAGCATTACAATTATAACTATGAAATATGGAACCACATGTTCATTCTCAGTCCAGTTGGTGGCGGTAATACACCATAAGTTGGCTTGTCAACCGCCATAAAATCGTACAAGAAGAAGAAGAACATGTTCATTCTGTTGGTCGGGGGGAAGTGAATTGCTGCTGTACCACTACAGCCACATTGAGGTCAAATTTACCAAATGCTTATTTAAAATGTCTAGTTTTTCAAGATCAGCCCAGGTAAGCTGTTTATTATGGCTTAACGTTACTGTCATACTGGTCAAATGCCATAAATATACTACGCTGTCATCCGATGCTTATTTATGGAAGGCGTGATCTTTCTATTGAACTTGTGCGCTAACAAGCGTAAAATGTGTATAATGTCTGCACTTATGTGCATGGATCTATTTATTTAATTAGCATTAGAAATTAGATCTATTGTAGTGTAGCGTTGAAAATTAGTGAATGTAGATTGTGTAGTGTAAACGTGTACTAATGCATTAGTTGACCGGTGACAGGTAAAGTGGACAGTTCAGCCGACAGTAAAAAATATGTTTTTCTCAACTTCATGTTGTTATATGATATTATTTATTCTGTGGAACACAAAAGGAAATGTTAAGCGGGATGTTATGGACGCCTCAGTCACCATTCACTTTCATTGCATCGTGTTTCCTTGCATTAAACTGAACGTTGACTGATCTGTCATCTGATTAAAATCTTCCAAGGGCGATACAATTTTACTTCAACTATTAGTTATTGCGAACCGATTGTGTTCGGTCATTGAAAAAATCAGTTTGCATTTCATAAATTGTTTTCTCTTTTTCCCCATAAGCAATGGGCGACCTTTGCAAGATCCTGGTTCCTAATAGACGCTAGGATGCAGCCTCCTGGAAAGATCGCCTCTATGTGTTCAGTGCGTCTTCAAGGAAAGCATAAACCCATTTACCATCCAATGAGTGAGTAAATGTGTTTACTAAGCCAACCGAAGGCCTTTCTATTCATCTCCCACCTCATTGATTCATTGTTATGAATTGACTGGGAATGTGAAGTAGCCGAATGGCCACAAGATGGAAGTAAACGACCACTGTTTAAAATATTGGCATTTACCTATTCGTATATGTAAAAACAAATCGCTTTTATTTTAGTTGACATTGTCCCATTATGTGTACTATGCTGTTTCTGTATATTATAAATGGGATATTGCACATTGTATTTTGTGTTTATGTTAAGAAGGATACCATCTGTAATGGTAATTTATGTAACACCTAACATGAAAGGCTGAATCTTTAATAAGAATGTTTAAAATTGCAAGAGTAAACATGCTGCAAAATCATTCTCAGGATTTATTCGTGTAAATTCCTGACAGGAATTACAGTTCTTCCCTTGATGTGAATGTGAAAAGCTGCTAGTGTGGCAGCTAATTCCAGAGAGATGTAAGGTGTCATGACTTCTGACTCCGACAGGCTCTGGAATTGATACATTAGTTTGGAGCCGCACGCTGTATGTGCCTGCAGCTCACTCCCAGACCCTGCTGATGGTGCTTCCTTCCCGAGACATGCTGGGAGTTTTTAATGAAACTCTCACTCTCTGATAGATGAATGTGCATAACAGGCCAAGAGATGAAAATTCAGGGCTGTGCAGTTATTCTGATAGGCAGCAAAGTCGGAGGAAGGAGGGGCCGTGTTTTTATTTACTGGGTTTGAAGGAATAGATATTTTTGGCTAGGATTTTTTCAGTTGTTCAGTTAAACCTGTGTGTAAATGTTTAATCATAAATTCAGTGTTATATTAGATTCATCTAGCCTTTGTTTTTGATTTAATCTTTAATCTTCAACAACATGGATGTTCACATTCAGAGAGAAATAGTGTTTTGACTGAAGGAGTGCATGTGTGTGTGTGTGTGTATATATATATATATATATATATATATGTATTTATTTGCCAATGGAATTATTGGCAAATAAATATATTAATTCTACTATGGCTGTCACAATACCAAATTTTTAGTAGCTGATAGATAGATAGTTAGAAATGTTAATACATTCATTGCTAATATGCAGTTGAACCTACTTATTATTATTAATATTATTGTTGTTGTTATTAATTACAAAATGTTAATAATAATAATTACATATTCATATATTATATAATTACAATAATTTTAGTTAATAATAATGATGATAATAATAGTAATTATTATTAGTATTAGTATTAGTATTAATTAGAACAGTGGTATGTTTTTTTTTCCTAGTAATTGTTCAAGAAAAAATGCAGTATTAAGAATAAAGAATAAAAAAATAAATTAAATGGGAGGAAAAAATATACGTTACTTCAATATCTTCTGCCGCAATTATATCGTTGGGCAATTATACTGTAGGCTATATAAACTGCGGGCATCAGGGAGCCGTTATTAATATGCTGGGCATTGAAATTGCTTTTGAACGCGCGCTTGTTTTTTTACTTTCACTTTCGAAATTCGCCATCACGTGTACGGAGCAGCACTCGGCAGTACTTACCACACATTTTACAAGATTAGATGTTTGTCAGTGGTGCTCAGGATCTGCAAATCATTCGCCATCATCCTATCAGGATGGTAAGTGGTAAGTGAAATGTTATGTACTGTAATGTAACAGGCTACCGCTAGCAAGCGGCTAACCATGTCCCTTTAGTGGCTCCGTAGAACGCGTTATTTGTTTTCCGCGCCTTTCTGAACACGTGACGTGACATGTGAATACTCGGAATTAGTGCTCTGCATTTATCCCATCCAAAGTGCACACACACAGCAGTGAACACACACACACACCGTGAACACACACCCGGAGCAGTGGGCAGCCATTTTTTTAAATAAATATATTAATTCTACTATGGCTGTCACAATACCAAATTTTTAGTAGCTGATAGATAGATAGTTAGAAATGTTAATACATTCATTGCTAATATGCAGTTGAACCTACTTATTATTATTAATATTATTGTTGTTGTTATTAATTACAAAATGTTAATAATAATAATTACATATTCATATATTATATAATTACAATAATTTTAGTTAATAATAATGATGATAATAATAGTAATTATTATTAGTATTAGTATTAGTATTAATTAGAACAGTGGTATGTTTTTTTTTCCTAGTAATTGTTCAAGAAAAAATGCAGTATTAAGAATAAAGAATAAAAAAATAAATTAAGAACAGTGGATTTAATTATTGTCTGTCCACTGTATTTTATTAATATTAATTACAAAATGTATTTTTTATTTTCATTATTTTCTTAACTTATATCTATATATTATATGTAAGAATATATGTTGATATGTTGTATATACATGTATACTGTATAGGTGTTGTTTATATATATATATATGGATGGTAAGTGGTAAGTGAAATGTTATGTACTGTAATGTAACAGGCTACCGCTAGCAAGCGGCTAACCATGTCCCTTTAGTGCCTCCATAGAACGCGTTATTTGTTTTCCGCGCCTTTCTGAACACGTGACGTGACATGTGAATACTCGGAATTAGTGCTCTGCATTTATCCCATCCAAAGTGCACACACACAGCAGTGAACACACACACACACCGTGAACACACACCCGGAGCAGTGGGCAGCCATTTTTTTGCTGCGGCGCCCGGGGAGCAGTTGGGGGTTCGGTGCCTTGCTCAAGGGCACCTCAGTCGTGGTATTCAAGGTGGGAGAGAGCGCTGTACATACATTCCCCCCACCTACAATCCCTGCCGGTACGAGACTCGAACCCACAACCTTTGGTTGACTCTCTAACCATTAGGCCACGACTTCCCCCGGATTCAGGATTCAGCTACACCTCAATACACGGATTCAGCTACACCTCTAACCCAGTCGGGGGTGTTTGTGGTCTGCACAGCACTCTTATTTGACATCGTCCCAAGTTACTGTAACCGTTATATGCTACGCAAGTCTTTTTTTTATGCCACGCAAGTCTACAGTGTGTACGTGAGACAATGTGTTCTTCTGTTGTCTTTGACAGCTTTTAGGTGCGTTATTGGCAGCGCCACCCTCTGCGTCACCACCGTATCAGCACGGAAAACATTTTTTAAGACCATAATCGCACAACCTATTCGATATTCTATAATTAAATCAACTAATCGAATAAATCGAATATGTGACCCATCCCTAATATATATACATAAGTATAATACATTTTGTAATAAAAATACATTTAATACATTTAAATTTATGTATATCTTTAGATATTTAAATCTGTTTACATTATTATTATTATTATTATTATCATTATTATTACTTCTTCCAAGTAATTGTTGAAGAAAACAGTAATAAAAATGCAGAATTAAAAAAAATAAATTAAGAGTAGATGTTATCTTTTTGTTTGGCGAATAGTAATTATTTTCTGTACTTATATATTAGTAGCATATAATGTCAGTATTTACTTGACAAAGAACCAATACTTTACACATTAAATTCCACTGTTGTAAAGCGTAATTTTTCCTCAGCAGGGAGTAATGTCAAGAGTTCAAGCTGAATGTGAAAATGTATCATGTACATGTCTTGTTCCCAGGTGATATTGGAGACCATGTGGTAGTCATGAACACCAGACACATCGCTTTCTCTGGAAATAAATGGGAACAGAAAGTGTATTCGTCTCACACTGGGTAAACAGAGCTCTCTCCTTCCACATTCTAGCTCAACTGAGGACAGAGAACATGCTTTTTATATTCTTTCATTTATGCCCTGCTCTCGGCTGTGTTTTCTTTGTGCTGACAAAGAGCAAAAACGAAAAAGGAAATCTGAGATCTGAACCACA